TTTGACAAGTTTAATTTGATCGTTATAATTCTGAAAGATACATAATAGTGTACCTGTTTTACAGATGGAACAAATTAAGGCTCAAAGAACTGCACGCTATATTGAGAGTCTTTTGACTCTGAACTCTCAATGCTTTTATTAACCATGTGCACCTAACTATCCGAAGCCCATTTGTTTCAAATTAATTATGTTCATTATGTCCATGGTAGTGACTTTAAACCTGTCTGCCCATCAAATTCCTCTTGGAGCTTGGCAAAATTGCTAGGTTTTCTAGGATAAGAGACTGATGGTGGCATGAGCTACGCCAAGAGCATTGATGTTTGCCTCCCAGATTGAGGGAGAGTGCAATATGACCCAAACTTTGTTTCCTCAAGTAACAGCTATCAAAATTACTGACCTTTCAGGAGGCTGTGGGGCAATGTATGAAATCAACATGTGATCAGAAGACGTTAAGAAATCAAAGGAATGCATGGATTGCAGATTATCTACCTCCATTCCCACTGATCCACAGGAGAAAGATGAGGTGTTCTGATCCCGTAAAGATCTACAGCCTCGGAAACCCTGTACAGGGTCGCTATGGGTCGGTTCCAACTCCACGGCACATAACATAACCACCATCACCTCCATCCCCACCGAGCCCGCCCTGGCAACGCTACTGCTGCTTAAAACCTTTGATGAACCTGAGGCCACTCTTTTCCAGACATTTGCAAAAAGATTTCATTTAAAGAAAACATTTTCATATTATAATTATAGAGGAATGTGATATATAAATATATCTAGATGTTAGTTAAAGGCAATGGGCTACTGAAGCTTAGGGTGGTGAGTGTGTGCTGTTGAGTCAGTCCCGACCCATAGCGACCCTGCATAGGGCTTCTGAGGGTGTAAATCTTTATGGGAGCAGAAAACCTCCTTTCTCTAGCAGAACAGCTGGTAGTTTCTGACCTTGAGGTTATCAGCCTTAAGGGTTTTTTAAAAAACAATACACACACCAAAACTTTCAGACTGAGTTGGAACTACTGCACTACACTGGTAGCCTATTTAATCCATTGTATCAAGCATAAATTTATCTTGGCTTACCCGACTAGTTTTGTCTTGCTATCTTGTCTCTACTTTTCAAAATCAATCCTTCATTTACCTCAAGGGTTTAATTTCTATTTAATAATGCCCTCCCTTCTAAAATCATTTGGATGGTAATTAAGAGAGCTAGATTCTAGTCCCAGTTCTAATTCTGTGATTTTGGAAGTATGCTTTTCTACTCATTTTCTTAACTGGAAAAGAAGCACATTTAGAAGTTGGTATTTTCTAGTCTAAAAATTGCATCCATTTTTGCAGTTAGGTTCTATACCACTTATTATTTGTAAGAATCTCTTATTGGCTAGTCAAATTGATTTATAAACTTTAGATAGCTTTGTATTCATGTACAAATGTAATTATTCAAGTTCTCCCCCACCCCTATCCGCCATCTCCTATCTGTATCTTCTCCATGTTCTTTGTCCTAAAGGTCAACATCAAAAGGAAAATATTGTGGGGGGAAAAAACCCAGTGTATTTGTAAACAGAAAGCACTATACAAATGTGAGTTGTTAGAAATTAGTTTCCAAAGGTTGATAAAATATCATCAAAGAAAGCTGCTTCCATAAAAGTTTTATTTATCCCCACAACAACCCTGTGAGGTAGGGTGATCAGGGTATTTAAAGATGAGAAAACTAAATCTACATTTACTTGTTCACGGCTATACTGCATAGTGAATAAGTAGAAATTAAATTGAGATTTTTAAAATGTCCATGATTTTATATTGATTTATGTGGAAACAGGTAGAAAGAATATTAACTCCCCCCTACCTTAATGCCAAAAGGACACTGCCTTGAAAAATCCCATTTCAAAAGGTGAAAGTAGTATTCCATTGCTTATATCTACAAAGATTTATAAAATAAAAAAATAGTGAACTATTTTACAGTTAATATATATAATGGTTTCATTCAGGGACAATGTCCTTCAGCTATGAAGATGGTCAGCTTTTCCAAGTGCTAGAAATGCAAAATCTTTAAGAAATCTGAAAGAAAACAATGGTAGTGAGCAGAAGCCTCCATCTTCTTTATTATTCCTCTATGTATCTTGAATTGTTGTTGCTAAGTGAGGTTCTGTGAAATCTGGTCCCAGTTTTTAAAAAAAGAAAAGAAAACCAAAACTCTACCACAAAGAGATATCTGGTAAGCTTTTATTTTGTTGCCTACTCTCAAACCACTGTCACATTATTTAAAACAGTGATTGGTAAGACCTGGCTTTCTCAGAATCACCTGAACTCCCAGGCCTTACTCTTGACTCAGGTGAAACAATTTTCCATCAGGTGAGCCTCCAACTAATTACAATAAACAGGATTGGGAACTACTGACAAAAAACACTAATATTAAAATCATATACCTAAACTAGTATAAACGTGTTGCTCTTATCCCCTTCTTAAAAAAGACCCCCCAACATGTTATGCCCCCTGAACTCTTGCCTCTGGGCAAGTAATTTCAATTCAAGATACAGAGAAACATTTTATAAAAATGTATCCTAGGTAGTGATACTTGGATTCCAATAATAATTTAAGTAGCATTTAAATACAAGATACTGAATTTTGTGGGTCTTGTTCTGAAATTTTAGAATGTATTTTTACAGATTCCTAGCAGGCTTTCAACTTAGGGGAAGACATCAAAAGTTATTACATAATCAAGCGTATCAGCTCTGAAAAAATACTACACTCAAATATAGCTCATAAGAGGAATAAAAAGTGAATGAATGACAACCTAAGGCCTTTTGGCCCATACATTTTTGTTCCCAGTCCACTCTTCCCCTATAAGGGGAAATAAAATAAACATTCTTTCCTAGTTGCTTGGCATAGTTATTCGGTGGGTAACTATTAACTAAGTTAATTTAGATACACAAGATTAAAAGAGGTAACTAACAAATAAATACCTAGGAAGACAAAGAGAAGTCAGGTCAGAAAACCTTAACTAGCTAGTGATGTAGTATTTAACACCATCATATTAATACAATTTAATGTCCTTTACGTTTCAGCTTTATGTGATGGGACAAAGATGTGGAAGAGATCTGGTCCTTATGAAGAATTCTGTGCTCGTTGGAGAGATTTGTAGGAATAATGAAACGCTTTCTTCACTGATGAGATGAAGTATCTGTTTTCAGGCAAGCTGAACAAAATAATGAAAAATGAACTCCTGGAGAAGGTTGAAAGTACTATCTAGCTGAAAAAGTCATTGGCCAAAGATAACTTTTTTTTTTTTTTTTAAACGATTCTATGTTTAACTCTAAAACAAAAACAAAAAATCCAGAAACATATAAAAAAGCAAACAGTGTACATATTCATTTCACTGACAGTTACAGGAAAATAGCCATTTATAGAAGTTACAATGCTTTCAACAATCCCAAATAAATTTTGGGAAACAGATAAAGATAAAGCCATCAGGTAAATAAATATACATATACTAGCTAATATAAAACAATTTATGGTTACGAATTGTCATCAACTCTCTTTTAGGACCCAAGGAGAAATATAAATCTAATTAGGGCTACATATATTACATGTAATTAAAAACACAACTGATTAATAAAACATCCTTTCTAACAATGATACAAATATTTAAAAGAATGTCTTAAAAGTCAGACATTTATCATAGGAAGTATCACAATTTTAGTATGTACTTCAGAGCTGTAATGTGTATATAGGTCACTTCTGCTGTGTCTCATCAGGTATCATCCATCTCTCCTGCATTTACTACAGTCTTTAAGAGTTCACTACAGTCCGTCTTTTAAGAATTCACACTTCCTCTGTGAGCTGAAGGGCTGGGCACATTGCAATTCATAAAATATACACTTTCCTTGAACTAAATGGAAGTGTTTAACATGTACCAATAAAGCAATGAAAGGGTAATGGAAGATAAAACAGTATATAATAGGTGCAGGAAAGCTGGATAAATTGCCTCTCTTTAAATTATTTAAAGTTTTGTTATTAACAAATGAAAAATGACCCAAGTAATGAACGTATTGAAGAAAAAAAAATATTAAACTGTCGTCAAATGTTCTCAGGCCATATAAAACTTCTTAGTTTATTTCTTAACAGAGTTTGTTATGTTTGATTCCTTTGTCAGTTGCATGGGACTGAAAACAGCTTCACCATTAGTAAAATGCGAAGAATTAAAAAGTTGGTGTTCATTATTATAGTGCTCAGAGGCACAATGGTAAAGGTGCTTTTATTTCCCATTAAGTAGGGGAAAGCCCTTTGAAATTGTATTAATCAGAAAAACTTTCAGCAATTATAATGCACACTGAAAGTTCAGATCTTGTTTAGATTTTGGGGTTTGCTCGTTTGAGCATTAAAGTGAAGGGAGCAGGGACAAATGTAAGTAGGTTCACAATTTTGAGCAAGAGCATATGTAAAGGTAACGTTATGTACATTTTATTTCAAGAAAGACAGCAGACAAACAACAAAAAGATGCCCAGATGCCCTAAAGATAAATACATTTCAAAGATTCTCATTAAAACGAATCTGTAGTATTTTTTACCTGCAAGCAAAATATCTTTCTTTAAATTAAAAAAAAAAAAAAAAAAAAGTATTCTGAATTGCAATTTTTTTTTTTTTTTTTTTTGCAGAAAATCTGCCATGATTACTTTTTTAATGAAGAAGGATTTTCCACAAAACAGGCTTGGCTCTACATGCTAAGTTTTTAAACAGCTCAGTGACACAATATGCTAACTACATACACAACAGGTAATATAGTAAGAAACACTCAACCTGATGGAAAGTTAAAATCTTCATTAATACACTGAAAATTGACATAACTCATGCCTTTAAAATCAAAAATACAAAAATTAAATGTTTTCCTAAAAAGATTTCCTTATTTTAAGGACTCATTTGAAAATGAAGCTGCATGTAATTTGTACAATAAAGTTGTACAAGTAAACAGGTAATATACATAAAAAATTAATTGACATACTCCTCAATTATCAGTTGTCCACCTTTAATTTCCAATACTGTACTTTCTTAACAAGCATACAAAATATCAAACTTCTCTTTAGAAAAAGTGCCGTTCTTTGACATCCTTTACATAAAAACAGTCTGAGCCTGTGGTATGTTAATGCAGTAGAGAGGCAAAGCATACTAACTTTTACAAATTCTACCTTCCATAAAAAGCCTCCCGAAAAGGAGATTACACACCACTATAAAAATATCAACCTCTTTATGGTAGCTGCATTAGAGAACCAAGGCTTGCAGACTATTTTCATATAGCATAGAAAACCACTATGACAGCATAGGAACTGCATTTGGTGGCCTGGGAGTGTACTGTGCCACAGGATGATGCATAGGTACTGTTAGGTACCAAGACTGTTATACATAGTTTTAAATTGATTGTAACCGAGAGCATAACAGAGGTACTACCAGCCCATGCAAAATAACTAAAAATACTGAGCCACTGTGCTGAATACTTCATTCCTGGAGAATACCAAAGGCAGCAGTAACCAAATCAAGCCCAACAGGTGTTGACCACACTCAGTCTCCTCAAAGATTAGTGAGCAGCACAGTGAAGTCTGAGGTATACCTTTATCCATTAAATCTGTGTGCCATTGCAAGATATTACCATTTGGAATACATGCTATCACAATGGTTTAAATCTTCTGAATATTAGTCACTCATATATTCTTATCTACCCAGTCTCTTGATTTTTGAAAAGATTTCACCTACAGTAGAATATTACAGAAACAAAATATAAATGTATGTCTTGCTAAATGAAACTTACATGGACTAAAAGTAGAGAATATTTTTAAACAAATATACAATATGCAGGCAGACAAAGCAGGAAAACGGCCATTCAAATGTATAATAAAAACTAAAAATTGACTATTTCAAGAAAACTATGAAGCGCCTCAACTAAAAGGAATGCATAATGAATTTCTAATCTAATACAGGTCAAAAATGTAAAAAGGTTATAAACCTTAACAGGAAAAATAAAACAACTTTTACTGGCCATTCCTGTTGAAATGAGAATCTTAAAGTAACAGAAAAGTGGCTACAAACCCACTTAGAGCACCGAACAGAGAGAAAATAAAAGTCCATTTTCAGCTCTGTTATTATCATAAAATCCTGTGTGACTACAGGTCAAACTGCTGGTGGCAGAAACAGAATTCTTTATAAACTGCAGATGTCCTGTACATAAAAAATTTCACTGGAGTTGCACTAGTTCTAAAGACTCTTCTGTTTTCGCCTACCTACTGTATGTATTCAATCTGAGATAGATAAAGTCTCTCTCTGTAACCCTTGATTATTATTGGGCACCAAAGATAAGAAAAGCAAGACGGGGTACAAAAATGCAAAATTTCAACAGTAATGGCAATGTTTTTGTCTTAGTCCAAAAGGGTCCTGCATTCTCTCCCCCTTCAGTCATCTGACAAGTCTTTGTGTTTAATCTGGGGGCAGCAAATCATGCAAGCGAAATCTGTCTCTGATGTGAGGTCGGACATCTTCATTCTGAATGGAATAAAGAGAATGTTTTAAAAATTACATTATTTTATAGATACAAAGGGGCTTCAAAGTCCATGGAAAAATGGAATCAAAAGATGGAATTTTCCCACACACGTTTTGAAGTCCCCCTTGTATAATCTTCATGTTCTAAGCATTCTTACTTTGCAGAGAAAAATCACTATTTTATTTTACAACTTGCATTATTTTGTTGCCAAATATAAAAAAAATTCAAGTTATGAAGTTTTAAATAGTAATAAGCACAGTTTTAGCATAATTTGTAAGGTTAAACAATGCACCTATGTTTTCCATTTTTTCATAATTTCCTACCACAATTGACTTAGTCAGTACACAGAGAGTAAACCATTAAAAAGTGATTTTTTTCAATATAGTTGAGCTAAGAAAAACACAAGAGAAAAAACAAATGATATACTTACCAGTTCTACAAGCTTCTCCAGAAATGGAATCAATTTTAGGAGTTCATTGTCATTTTTATCCATAAACCAGCTTTCTATAGGGATTCCATTAGAAAGCTAAAAGGATAAATAAATAATTTATTTATCTTTTTATTTCTATTTTGTCTTGTTTGGAAAAGTTTTAAAAATGAAACAAAAATTTAACCCTTTTGTAGCCTGTAGTAGTGTGTAGCTGTTATCCCCATTTTAGCATATGCTTCCGTCTTGTATCACTGAGTAAATCTGAAGAAACAAGTCTCATCCTACCAATCTCAGGCACCAGAGACCTCTCAGGACATACCTGCCCAATAATTGTATCAGAGTCCACGTTACCATAAAAACATTTTTTTTTGCCTCCCGTTACTGAAAACACATGATTTCAAGAAAAAAATTCAAGGCAGAAAATAACTACATCTTGAAAGGGTAAGGAAAACCCTGATGTATAAATTTCTTTGAAAAGGAATGCCTCCAGAGTTTATTCCTTGGCAATCAATAATATGACAGAAAGAGTAAAGTGAAGACTAACTGGGTTTTCATGTACATAAAATTAAACAAGAAAGTTCCATTAAAACAAGTTTTATATGGGCTATGAACCTAACTAAGGAGGGCTGGTAGCGTAGTGGGTTATGAGTTGGGCTCATAACTACAGAGTCAGCAGTTCGAATTTACCAGCTGCTCTGAGGGAGAAATAAGCTTTCTGCTCCCATAAAGATTTACAGCCTCAGAAACCCTATACAGGGTTTCACTACGAATCAGAGAACCAACCCCACAGCACCCACTACCACAACTACCACGAACCTAACTAAATAGATATTCCTTCTTCATTCAAAAAAAACAGTTAACGATAATATAGCAATTGTATGCCCTGTGAATCAAAGGGTAATGCCAATGAAAACAGAGAACACTCAGACTACCAGAAATCATACTGTCTGTCCCAGTAGTATGATAGTCTGAGCACAGTAAGTACTTAACAAACAGACTCACTGGTATTTCCCTGAGGAAGAATGCCTAAAAATAAGAATAAACACTGCATCTGTTTTATAGTAAATCTCTAGGATAAAATATATTTATAGGTAATGTTTAGATTAAGCATTTTGTTTTAGATAGAAGATATTTACTTGAAAACATTTAATCTAGGAGCCAAGATGAAATTCTAAAATATTATATCAAAATGCAAGTAAATAAAAATAATGACCTTGATTGACCATGTTTCAACAACAAATGCATTTTTTCCTTTTGTTTATTTTATTAGGGACATTTTGAAACACACAAAGAAAGTCCAATCTTATTTCATCTATACTTTTCATATACCCCCATTCTGTGCTGATTTGTCTGAAGCAAATTTCATAGATTAGATCATGTACACATATTTATATAATATGCAGTGTATCTTATAAGGATGTATTTAAATAAAAAAATTTAAATTACAACATATAAAAGGAAGTCTGTTTATGAAGAAAATATTTCAGAATGTCAAATCAAATAAACAGACCAGTTAAGGTTTTTATAACTTTCAAACAGGTTTATGTTAAATTATGGATTAGATCAAATTTTAAAGGATAGCTCACAACAGTTACCTACCTCTTACCCAAATTTACTTGCATTTAATAGTAAAATTTCCAAAAGGGTTATAATAATTTGGCACTTCTAATTAGTATGGGAGGAGTCCTGGTGTGGCGCTGTGGGTTAATGCACTGGACTGCAAAGTCGGTTTGAACTGTAGGGTCGGCAGTTCAAGATCACCAGTTGCTCCTTGGAAACCCTACACAGGGTCATTATGGGTGGGAACCGACTCAAGCACTTAACAACAACAACAATAATTAGTATGGTAACAAGCCTTTAACTCTAAAACATGACATTAAACAGAAATTCTACCAACAAAAATTCAGTTCTGCCATTATAGTCTGTTTGGTAGCATTTGTTCCCATGTATTTTTCCCAATATGACTTTGTTAAGCAATCCTCTTCCTACCTGATATGCAAAGGCTTGTGGTGAGTTGTCAATTATTATAGTTTTTGAAAGATCTCTTCCCAGGATATTTAAGTCTTTTATATAGTTTCCTTGTACACAAACACAATGTTCACGGAAAAGTCGATGCCTAAACGTAAAAATAAATAAATTTTTAAAAATCTCTAAAAAGTACAACAAATACTGACACATACATACACCACAGGCTTTATAGGTTCAATAAGTCTTTTCACTCACTATGGAAATAAATACAAACATGGGCCTAAGCTTTGGGCTATGCTTTTACTATAAAAGTTCACAGCAATTATTTAAACCTTACAACCAAATATTGCCATGCCATACAGAACTTGGGTTTATTCCTAAAATGTAAAGTTAAATTATAAAGAGGTTATTAAAAATTCTGTAAATTTTTTTGGTAATTTATTTACCCAGGAAAGCTCAGCTCAGATGCAGCATCTGGTTGTCAGCGAGGTCCTGCTTTTTAACCAATTTTCCAGGTGAATGAGGTACAAGGTCAAGTGACTTGCCCAAGGTCACACAGTAAGTCAGTGGTTAGCCCCGCATTGGAACCCAGGATCCTCCTGGCTCCCAGGCCTTTGCTCTAACCAGTAGACCACACAGCCTCCCTATCCCTGTACACGCCAGAATAGAAAATATAAGAAGGAATGTTGCTTTGTTGGCAGTTAAAAAAAATTTTTTTTTAAAGTTTCTCTTATATTTTTGAGAAAAGATGCTGAAGCCAAAACATTCCATCATTTCAACATTTCCCCAACTTTTATTTCTCTTAATTTTATTTAGTAAGTAAATAAAAAATTATGTAAATAAATATATTATATATATTTGGAAAAATATGGTTGAAGGAAAAGATAATTTCTGATTTAAGTGTTACTAAAGTAAACTGATGTTTCACCAATATATTACATGCTGACTAGAAAAATGCTATATAATTTTTTAAAGCTTTAAAAATAAATTGTACTTATAATTCTATAGTATATTATGTAATTATCCTTTAGCACTCAAAACATTAAAGTTGCTGAATATTTATAACAATTGATATAGTTAAGATTTTTTTTTTAACCTTAAAATACTTTATTATCTCTATATTAATAATAGGTAGTTTTAGTGTTGTGTTAATTCCACTAAGCAATTTTTAAGGGCTAGCTACTATACCTCTGTATTTGATCATGCAATTTCAAGAAAAGGGTATTTTTTATCTACAAGGTCAGTCACACGTCTGTTAAAAACAGAAAACAAAAACCCCACTAAAAACTCAATTAAAAAAATTCACAGTGCTGGTAGTAATAGCAAAGAGGAAGAATTTTATGTGCAGATAAAATATAGTATAAGTAGTTCTTTTCCCCCTGGCTATAATTTTAAGGAATGCTTTAAACCAATCAGATAATCATCTGCCTTTGGGCGGTTTACAGATAGTCCTACTTAAAAGTCCGAAGTCCTTTGGGGATCTAACAAACATTCCCCATTTTATTTCTTGAAACATTCAGATACGAGAAAACTGGAAGCAGGTATAGAGTGCACATACAAGTCACTGCTGATGACGCTTACCCAACAGCAACAAACATACTGAGAGTAGTCACCAGTATATATATGTGGAGACTGTGATTATTTAACACCCTCACCCTCCTACAGTTAATAACATGTATCTGAAGTTTTAGAAATTACTTTTGACAATCTAATAGAGATCCTTTACACTAACAACACTGCATTTAGACTGATGGGATTTAGAGATCACAAAAATTTCTTAAGTCTATTAATTCCTTATAGCACTCTAATAAATAAATTTAATCTACTATTCAAATATGTTGTTTTAATTTTTTAAAAACACATATAGATTAAACAGAAAACTCCCAGATGTTTAGGTTTTATAAAGAGGGGGATTGATTTGAAAACTCCAAGAGGGAAGGACTTCATATTGTTTAATGTTCCATAGAACATTGAAGGTACTTAAATAATTATCTTCAAAATGAATGGCATTAAAATCATTTGTATATTTTTATTAAAGTTTAGTAAAATGGGCATAAATGTCAATCAATAAACAGTAGTGAATAGAAAATGCCACTTTTCATTTGTGTGTGTGCAGTTTGTTTATATAGAAGATGCAATGGAAATTGACAATAAGGACAAATTTTGATTTTCTATATTAAACTAAAAAGGGTATTACAGTTGGATTTAGGAAAAAACCTCCTACATGTGGATACCAGGAAAAGGTTTTCAGTATAATTATACCCACCATTCAGTAATACAGGACTTTAGACAGTAGGAAATACTATGGGGGAAAATAGTCAAGAAACTTATCATCTAGCCATTAATGTCTTCATGAACCTTTTGCATCTTTCTCAGCTCTAGTCAAAACCTCAAAAATGAACTCTGACATTTTAGAGGATTCTGTAAGATTGCTACAGTATTAATAACACATTTCAGCTGACAGAAATTAATGGCAGTATTAACTTGGAAACAGTTTTAAAATCATCCAAGGGACTCCTGTCTAATCCTGAACACACTTCATCTCCTGGATCAGGACACATACAAGGAACTCAGTCCAGATTAGAATAACCTCTCACTAACGCATCTATAATTCTTAATTACTAATCAGATCACTTGATTCCTTCTGTTAAATTAACTCTATAACATGTACCATTCTCAGAGACTTGAGGTGTGTACACAATGAAAAATTTTACACATACCAAGTCTCCCTTCCAACCCCTCACAAAGAATAAAAATGTCACTATGAAAAAGGTATTTGATGTTGATATCCTTTTGAAGAACATCTGTTTGAAATGTATCATTAGGAAATGTTTTAGTTTTGGGAATCAAAAAGTTCATTTATTCTCACCGTTCAACAAACTCTACATATGTAGCCAGTTTATAAAGGCCATTAAAATTAAACAGAAGCATAAAAACTTCATAGATCAGTGTGACAGACTATTTCTTAATGAAATTTACCTGACCAGTTGCTTTTTAGGGTCTAGTATGTTCAGTAACTTGTCTGCATACACCTTCTTAGAAGCAGTAAAAAGAATGATCTACAAATTAGGGGAAAAGAAGTAATCATTATACATGATCTACATATGGGCATTATATTGCATAAAATAAAAATCTAAGTATATAATTAGTTTAATCATTTTTACCTCATACATCTGAGACATTCGTTCCAGGAATTCCCTGAAGAATGGTCTTAATCTCACATAAACCTGAAAAAACATAAGGATAGGCTTCAACATATTAACATACCAAATGGAAACTACTCATTCATAAATGATGCTGTGTTCTAACCCTGAATATACTATAGTTAGTACATATTTTAAAGTAATAGAAAAGTTTACTAGATGAACACTCAAACCAAACATATTTCACATACAAGAAACCACTTAAAACATCTTTTGGCAGTGTTAAGAATCATCACTGGTGAACAATTTACTTTTAATAGTTAAATACAACTGACAATAGTACTTCATTGGAATAGAATTATAATAAACAAACTAAAAATGGAAGGTTTCCCTCTGAGATTTTGATCCACAAATCAGCTCCATCTTCCAGCCAGGTAGTATCCATCCAATTATTAGGCAGGCTATGTGTCCACCTCTAGCTGACCTGTCTCAATGACCTTCCTCAATAATTGCTCAGAATTTCTTCTCAAAAATCACCTGCTAATAACATCTTGATTTTAAACCAGAATTTTTCAGAAGTCAATCTTGCTATTCTATTACTAATTCAGATGTGGCATCTCAATTAGTACTATGTACACCTAAAACTAATTCAGCAAACATATCAGTTCTCAAAATGGACAGTATTAGAAACACTATAATGCTCTTATATATCTTATTTCTCTGTCTTGCGTATAATCAACATAACTCTTGTAACATACTCTAATATAGAGAACTTCACTAAAAGTGATTTATAAGAGATTTTGACTTCTCTAAGACATACTTATTCTGTGACAATTTCATAAAAAGAAATTTTATACTTTCAAGGTGATTACTGAACAACAAATGTTTATGGAACACCTACAGTATACAGTATATAAAGCACTGGACTTCACATCAGACTCACTGGACTCATTAAAAAAACAAAGTTGGGAGATGCCAAATTCAAATCTAGGCCCTCTAGAGTTTAATTCTGACATCTGTAACACATTCACACAAAATATCCTTATAACAAAAATCCAGTTCAGGGAATGTTACAAGGAAAAACAGGGATTAAGTATGCAAATATTCTGGGAGGTAAGATACTATGTTTTACCTTATTACTGGAATTCCCAAGGCCAAAATGGTTTAAAATAAGCAAATATGAATATATAGTAGGTACTAGAATTGCCTGAAATTAGGCATGCAATGTAAGATACTCGTTTAGTTCTTCTCCTAAAAACAGGAATTGACTCAACAGCAAAATGTTTTTGGGTAGAATACACCAAATAATTTTACTGAACACCAAACTCTTATGATAAACAAATTTTACAAACAGAAAAGACTATACAAGTACAGTGAGTGACTGAAACTCCCTAAGAACTGATGATCACTTGTGAAAAGTGAACTTTAAATGATTATGTTTTGTTGTTAAGTGCCATTGAGTTGGTTCTGACTCATAGCAACCCTCTATAGCAAGGTTTCTGAGGATTCACTAACCTTGCAGTTAGCAGTTCAGCGCTTATTTTACAGCACCACACTATTGTTAAGTGCCATTGCGTCATTTCCAATTTAGAGTGACCCTGTGTAAGGTTTCTGAGGAGCAGCTGGTGAGTTTGAACTGCTGACACTTTGTGGTTCAAACTAACCTTGCAGTTCAGTGCTTATCCTACAGCGCCATACCAGGACTCTCTAAAATGATTATAATGGTGATGGTACTTGTGTGCTGCTGATTCACAGAGACTCTGTATAGGGTTTCTGAGGTTGTAGAATCTTTTTTATGGAAACAGAAAGCCTCACCTTTCTCCCACGGAGCGGCAGGTAGATTCAAACTACAGACCTTTCGGTTAGCAGCCCAGTTTGTAATCCACTACACTATCAGGGCTCCTTAAAATGATTATAGATATGCTAATATTTTACCCGGTCTCCATATCCAGTCTACAGTGATAAATGCTTACTGCTTTTAATCCTATTAAGTCAGGCGTTTAAACTTAATATCTTGACTAATGAAAAGTACAGTAAGTCTGCATTCCAGCTAATAAAAGATGAGGTACAAAACATTTAACTGCAGTTCACTTGTGATCTTGCTTGAAAACTCATTATTGACAAAATGTAAGGATATAATAAAATTTAACTGCCATATTGCTTATTACAGAAAGAAGAACTCTAAGAAATTACAAAAATTAAAAAAAGAAAGTATTCATTTAATATTAACTTCATCAGATTAAACTTCTGCCCTATTTAATATTTTAAAAAGTATGGGATAAGTACATGTTCTGAAAAATAATTGGACATAGATTTTAGATATATAGCTATTGCACTGGTAACATCATTTTTATTAATTATGGGCCTTCCAAAAATTTGTGATGGTTAAGAAAAGCCCATTAATTCTGTCAATACTTTTACTTAGTCATCTCACTTCAACAAATATCACAAACTATGAACCATCAGAGCCTTTTGTTTGCTGCTAGTCCCTTAGATGCATTGGTTGTTATTGTTGAGTACCACTGAGTCAGTTCCACCTCACAGCAACCCTGTACAGGGAGGGTTTCCAAGGATGTAAATCTTAACTGGAACAGAAACCTCATCTTTTTTCAATGTTAAGCTCAAGCTTTGGACCCTGTGGTTTGCAGTTCCATGCTTATCCTACAGGGCTACCAGCACTCCCTAAATGAATTTAGGAACAAAAAGAGTTCATCCTTGTGTGTGTGTATACATACACACACAAATTTTTCAATATTCCATCATCACTTTTCCCATAAAATAGTGTCTTTGTAACTTGGGATCTATTTCCTCTAAATAACATCATGGTTCTATATTAAAGAATTACTTCTTAAATTTAAAATTTTTATTTAGACAGCTAATTTAAATGATACTTTCCAAGTACCGTCATAGTCCATTTCCCATTCTCAGAACAGATTCACCATGATTTGGAAAGGCAAAAAGGAAGGTGTTTCAGAATTGAAAGACACAAGCAAAGACTGAGGTGACTAATAAAAACCAGAATACAGATATGTTATAGGTAGATGTGAGCAGGAATACAAAGAAGTCAAAAAGTACTTAGGTACTATTCTGCAGAACAAAGCAAGAACATTTGAAAGGTCGGAACAATACGACGGGTTTAATTTTTGAGACTACATTACTTGATGTGTTAGGTTACAAAGATACAACAACATATATAGATGTACACACTGGCATTTCTCCAAATGCTAAAAGAACAAAAAAAAAAACTCCACAGATGTCAACTCCATCTTTCTTGTCCCAACCTTTCTCTCATACAAAGCTTTCTGCCCTGAGTTGCTTAGTTCTCATTTTCTATGTCTCCTTCACCCATGCCTATTTCTACTTAGTATTTCACGAGTCTTTTTTTCTTCAAACTTGAAACTCCCTAAAACTACATATATAGTCTCTCAAATCTATGGCCAGGCAAAAGCTTCATTTCAGTATTCTCTTCCAAATCTAAGTCAATTGGTGTGGTACTACAGGATAAGCACTGAACTGCTATTCTCAAGGTTGGTGGTTTGAACATACCAGCTGCTCCTCAGAAACCCTCTATACTGTGAGTCAGTACTAACCCAACGGCACTTAACAGTACTAAAACATAATCATTTTAAGTTTGCTTTTCACATCACCAACACCACACCAAAGAAAGAAAGAAAGAAAGAAAGAAAGAACTCACTGTCACTGATTTACCTCCAAGCCATAGTGACCCTGCATAGGATTTCCAAGGCTGTTTATCTTTATGGGAGCAGAAAGTCTCATTTTTCTTGCAGTTGGTAAGTCCAGTGCTTATCCTACTATGCCATCAGGTTTAAAAAACCAGTATCAAAAGCTTAAAAGTAACACCTACCCTTAAACAAATAATAAATAAGGGGGAATCTGATGCAGACCGTGCAGACCCGGTCAGGAGTTCAAGTCCCTGTGGGCCCAAGCGTTGCTGACCGTCCAAACCATAGGCTCTGAGGATCAGACTTTAGCCACCTAGCAGACATAGCAAAATATTCCTTATCTGATTATTCAGTTATGCTGGTTAGTAA